TTTCCAAAAAAATCATTTACATCGTTTTACTATGTTTTTATGTGCCTCGTATTTTATGAAATCACTCTTGCACATCTTCTAGTGCTATACAGAATCTAACACTATGTCATGTGTGTATATGTGCTTGTGTGTGTGTGTGTGTGTGTGTGTGTGTGTGTGTGTCTATGGATATTTTCCTGAGTTTGTTTTCAGTGGGGGAAACAATGGGGAGATTCATTTGTCTTGAACACTGCCAGCAGTATCTGAGTTTAAAGGAAAAGCTACAGTCCACTAAGCTCTCAGATTAAAGTTTCACTTAGATTCTATTTTACTAAAGCTTAAAGAGTATGATTAAACCTGAGATGAATGTCTTAAAGCTAAAATTACTCAGCTCCAACTTGCTCTAGGCACCGTTATATTAGTATTACGTAATTGTACTGTGTTCATTTTGGTTTATTTCACAGAAAAGTACCTTTCTTTTGCTTAGAATTAGCTCTAAACAGTATTTTATTTGGAAAGATGAACCAGTATTACAGTTTTTGATTATATCTACCCTGGGTTACGGTAGATACACTGAATTAGTAATAATGCTAAACATTATAACACTCCAAAAGTTTCTTCTAGAAAAACACTTCCACCTTAATGTAGTTTAATTAGCCATGTATGTACCTAGGTGAGCTCACAAAGTGTGTTCTGAGGGAAGCAACAGCACAGGTTCACTAGAACCTTAAATAAGAAATCGATTGTTTAGTCTGCGCATGAAGGGGCCCATTTTCATCCTCGCCAAATCACAGCCGATTGACCGGGTCAGTCTCCTCACAAATCCTTTAAGAAAGGAGAAAAATACACAAAGTATTTCATAAAATAAAATTTGTTTGATGTAAGGTATTATTCTTCATTTGGGGATTATATACTTATTTTTAGTAGCAGAATTGCATCTTTTAGAAAGTGATAACTACAATATATGGAGCTCATGGGTTTTGATTGACACGGTGCTTTGGGTCTAATTTTCGAACCACTGGTTTACGAACAGTATAACTTCTCTATAATGCTAAGTGATTCTTGTTACTAATTTGTTGCCTGTGGTGGGAAAAAAAGGAATAGCTCATGCCTCCTAGAATAGTCTTGGTTTGTCTTCTGAGGTACTACTGCAAAGTAATTAAAACTCAAGTTCATGTACCTTTATTAATAATAACGGAGTAGCTGGCATGTCATGTAGAACTTCTGCAAGGCTGAGAACAACTAATAGAGTATATTATTAATATTTAAATTTAAAACAATACATCGTTAAATATAAAAAAATTCATAGATTTATAAAACAGGAGTTTAATTCACTTAGCTTATGAAAAGGTAGCACTTTTATACGACATGTAAATACCCTCTTTAGAAATCATATCCCTAAAACATATTAAGATAGTTCCTAGACAAGTCTCAGAAATCCTATTAACATATACAGTATAACAATAACATTTACCTATGACAATCATCCTCAAAGTTTCATCAGAAAATTTCTAATGTTCATAGCACTTTTACAAACATCCCAGGAACCTGAACCTCATATTCTAATAAACAAGGAAAACTTTCTCTTCCAATATCAATGTTATATTCATTTCATTTTTTATTTTTCATTCAACAATTATATGGAGGTATAATACGGAACAACAAAACATTGCTCTCCTTTCAAATGAATTTAAAGTGCTCTCATGGTGAGGACCGAAATATGGTTGTCCTAAATTGGCACCTGTACTTGACAGCTAAGTTTGGCCTCAAAATACCTCTTAGATACTGGAGCACGCCCTAGCTTGATGTGAGAGTAAACTGTAACCTCATGTAAGATTCTACTCCTGTAACACAGCAGCTACGACGTAGCCAAACACAACAGCTGACTCACCAGACAATCAGAGGCTGAAAGTTGCCAAAACATGACTTGATAAAAAAATGCTGACCAGGTTATCAAGTTATTTCTCTACATCATTTCTTTTCTCTGGGCTGTCATTAGAATCTGTACATCCAGGTACAGGGAGATTTTAAAACATCTTTGATATGGAATCCTGACACACTGTGGAATCTTTTTCTCATTCAAATATGTTTTGATAAATTTAACTAGCCTCAAGTTTTTATAATAGAGAACATAAAGGTGTGAAAATATAGTAAATAATGACGGGATAAGTGCTATAAAGAAAATAGCTGGGTGTGGTTTTTAAACAAAATTATGAAATACTACACAAAACATTCAAAAGTGCTGATCATGCCTATATTTGTACTGTCAGTAACCAATGAGAATGGGCAAAAAAGAAAAAGTACATTCCATAATTTAACAGGTAACTTCATATTCCAAAAGTGCCAATTATGACCACAGATCAGAAAACAGAAAACAGAAATTGTATTAAGAAATCAAGATTTCTTGATTTAGAGATTTATGATAAAAGAGTAGGTGCAACATGAAATAAACTGTTTCGCTTCAGGAGAAGTTAACTAGGAGGACACAGAATAATTGTAGAAAGTTTTTATTAAACTATTTTTAATACAAAAGCAACTTATGTGATACTTCAGAACAAAAAAATCAACTCCTTTTTGTTTCCTTGAGGTTTTTACGTTAGCGTTGCACAAAATCACTGCAGACCACAGTTGGCACACACTGACAAATGCTGCCAAATACAGGGGCAGGTCATTACGCACTAAATTTTCTTCTAAAATTTACAGTCCTTAAACAGTTTATTTTCCTTTGAAATCATAACACAGTAAATCCCACTAGTATATCTCTCAGTAGTTTACTAGATCTCAAGGTATATCCTTAAGGTCAATGGAGGTACATTAAGGAACCAAAAAAACTGCTTTCTCCTCAAATGTATTTAAAGTGCTCTCATGATGAAGAACCAAACTACGTTTGTCCTAAATTGGCATCTGTATTTGACAGCCAAGCTTGGCCCCAAAACGCCTCTTACATACTGATAATAACTATTGACAATAACATCAATGGTAAAAGAACTTCAAATTCGATAAACAAAATCGACATTAAAAAGTAATGTATCACTGACATAGATGAAATGACCACGTGAGATTTCTGCATTATTTATCACTATTACTTTTTATTGTAGTAATAACATTTAAGAATTAGTTAATTAAGGAAACAGATTTAAAGTTATCTCTTACGATAGGACATATTAAACTACATACGGCACTATATATTGAATGCGAAAGAAACAACAGAGCTATGTTGTTGAGAAAAATCTAATAAATTGCAGAAACAGAATAGGACAATAGAAGGCCATGTGTCTCTGCTACTGTTCTGTCACTGGAACACAATATCCAACATCCACAATGTACAGAAGCGAAGATTTATTTTGACTCTCAGTTTATAGAAGTTTCACTCCATAGTTGGTTGGCTCCAAGGCAGAGGGGCATGGCAAAGGAGTGTTGCTTACAGCGTGACGGTCAGGAAGTAGAGTGAGGTAAGAAGAGAAAAGAGAAAACTATACCCTTCTAGGCCACACCCTCAGTTACCCGCTTCCTCCAACTTGCCTTTACCTCCCAATATCACATTTAACTTTAAACTAGTCAGTGGACTAACCCTCTGATGAGTATCATAACCCATCATTTAATCACCTCATAAAAACTAAACTATGAGCACATGAGGCTTTGGAAGCACATCTAATTATAACCCATAACATTCCACCCCGGCCCTCAAAAGACTCCATGTGCATCCCTTTCTGCACAATGTGTTTAATCCATCTGTAGGAGTTACTGAAGTCCTAACAGTTTCAGCACTGCTGAAAAGTTAAAGTCCAAATTCTCAGATATTGAAGATAAACACCTAAGTGTGAAAATGTATAAATGACAAAAAAGTTAAAGACCTCCAGCCTACAATGAGACAGGATAAACATTCCCATTTCAAAAAAAGAAGAAATTGGATAGAAAGGAATGGGACCAAACCAAGACTGAAACCCAGTAAGGCAAGCATTAGATTCCGTGGTTCCGTGTCCAACAATCTGAGCAAACATGGTAAGATACGAACTCCAAAGGGTTTGGGTGGCTGGGCCCTTCCCCATGGCTCGGGCAGTGTTTGTAGCCTGCATGGCCTTTGGCTCGGGCCAGCTTTGCTCACTCCTTGTGGCTTTCCTCAGACAGTTCCCATGCCTGGTTTTTCCCACATCCTGTGGTTTCCACTGCACATTCAGCTTCATTCTCCCAGCTTCATGTATTGAATGCACTGCCTGATCTCCCAGGTCTTCTTGGAAATCTGAGCGGACTCTTTCCTGAGTCCACAACCCTGTCAGCCCGTGTGCATGGAAAACCAATGCAATGTGGATGACGCCACCGTCTGCCACAAGTAGAAGACAGAGTCAAGCCCTTTTGCATCTTGCCTGTGGCTGCAGAGGTCTCAGGTCACTTGGATGACAGAGCATGAGGAACTGAATCCCACGTAATCAATTTCCTAGGAGGCCCTTCTCCAGTAGAGTTCCCTGGTGCTCTCTTCTTAAAGCAAAGTCTTTTACTTTTACAATTTTACTTTTACAACTTTTACAACAAGAGGGCGAGTCTTGCTGCTTCCCCACACACCCTCAAGGCATTTTTTTCCTATTCTGATCCACAATACTTGGCTTCATTTTAATGCTAATCTTTTTAGCAACCAAGTTCCCTGCTGGTTCATCGTTGCAGAGCCCAACTTTACGAAAGCTTCCTCTATGACAGAACTCAAAACCTTTGCAATGTTCCAGCGGGGCCATTTGCTCTTGATTCCGAATGCAGAGCCCCAAATAGTACCTAAGCCACAGCCTGAATGCTTGGCTGCCTTGCAATTTTTTCTACCAGGTTAGTTATTCTGCCCTTAATCTTAGTCTCCCTCAGAGCTTCAGGACTGGAGCAAAATTTTAACAAATTTTCTACCAGAGCATAACACACATGGCCCGGAGTCCAAATGCCAATGGAGTTCTTGTTCCCAGTTGAAACCTCTGAGCCTGTATTTTTTTCTGCTTTTTTACCAGTCTTCTGTTCTTCTGATCTTTGAGCAGAAACTCCCCTCAAACTCAATTTACAGCACTCTAGGGGTGCTTCTCCAGCTAGCATCTCTAAACATTTCTACAGGCTTCTGAAACACATTGTCAGGTAAGATCACAATACAACCCCACTTCTCCAATACCAAAATCTATCAGTTAGGATTCAGTAGAGGCATAGATATATATATGTACCCTGATACCTCTGTTCGTGAACTTAATTTGTTTTGTAATTTTGGGGACGATGGTAGCATTCGTGTTTGTGCGGGAAAGATGGCTATGGTTGTGTTTGTCACCTAATGTGGAGTTTGTCAACCGAAGCAAAATTTTACCAAACACTTTTGTTTGCAAACTACAATCTTTGTGAACAGACGGGTTTGTGAGCTAAGGTTTTACTGTATAAGGATTCACAAGGTAAGCTTACAATGGGCACCTGAAATCAGAGGATGAATGCAAAAGGGCCATCTGCGTGCCAGAGAGCCAGAGGACCCATCCAGAATTCAATTCAAATTCCCTTTCAATTCAAGCTTACTACAGAGGCTGGCGCAAGTCTGTTTTGGAAGGCTGAAAGTACTATGAGTCTGAGAAGTCTGAGTGGGAGGCCTGAAGACAGGTGTCCAAAGGCAACGGTGAAGACTGGCGCTCCTCTGAAAAAGTGAGACTTCCTACTCATTTCTATTTTATTCTATCCAGGCTACAAGCCTTTCGGTTGGTGCCGCCCACACCCAGGGTCCTCTTCCCTCTTCAGTATAACAATCACCCAGCACATCCACAACTGTGCTAAAGCAATCAGCCAGGTGTATCTTATTCACTCTGACACCACAACGCACTACCGCACCATGTGCCGACAGTGACTATGCCCCAGGCAACTATTTCCTTTCCTGAAACTTTATCATAGAAAACATAAAAAAGACTGTGTTTTCCATAAATATACAGAAAAACACATCTGTAAAGATTTTTCATATGCGACATAGGCATCCCTTTTCATTTGTGGATACAAGCATATTACCTTTGTCATACTAGAGGTAAACTGCCACACTCAAGAATATTAAGATACCAAATATTTAAACAGTCTTTAATATTTTTCTCCCAGGCTTTCTACAAAGTAAGTCAACATTTACTTCTCTAGAAAGATATAGTAATTGACATCACTTGATCTAATCCACTAAAGTCACTGCAAAAGTGAGCCAGCCTTAAAAATTTCTTTGCTATCGTGGATGAAATTGCCATTACAGTGGTACCTTGGTTCACAAACTTAATTCTTTCCACAATTCTGGTCACAAACCAAGTTGGATGAGAACCAAGTCCCACTGACTGGTTAGGTTCACTGGGAGGGAGACATTTGATTCTGTTCTCATCCAGCTCAGTTTCCGACCAGAGTCAGGAAGAGAATTGAGTTTGTGAACCAATGCACTGCTGTATATAGTAAGTTTATTCAATTTACAGTTAAAAATAAATTAAAACTTATTTCACTAACACTCAAATAATACAACCAAATTCCAGGTTCCAGTATTTTGTATGTTTTTTAGTGGTCATTTTAACATTTATTTAAATAATGCATTTGAGTAAATGTTACCATAGAGTTAAGGCACGCTTTGAGTAACAATTTTACACCTGACAAAGGACACCATGTAAAACAGGCTTGATATTTAAATTTGTCACTGGCACTAAAGGAAGAAAATGTACAAGCGAATTTATGGCAATGACAAAATACTATTAAACTTTTGAGGTGTAATAAATGTTACAATGAAGTCTAACATATAGGAACGCCTCTTGTTTGCTGGAGTTCATACAAAATACCACTATTAGCTATCTTACTACTTTATTACATATCTACAAAACTTGTGGCACTTTCTATACTTAACTGTATGCTGATACAATCTCTAGTCTTAGGACTTGTAAAAAGGTGATGTATATGTGTTGCAATCTAAGTACCTAGTAAAATTCTAGCACATGGTTTAATACATAATTACTCCGTAGATGAATCAATGAACAAATGAATCCACTACTATGTCAAGAAAGGAAGTTCAACAGTATGATGTCAAGGTGACAAGCAACATATGCTAGTCCTAACCAAAGTGGTGTTTAGAAAATCCCCTGCCCATGTGAGATGCAGGAGATATAGCAAAAACTAACTGTAATAGCTAGAATCTGTCCTACCAAGGAGCCCTGGGTAAAATAACAGAGATGTCTAATTAGAGCGTAAACTTAAAAAATTATTTAATTTCTCACTTACGTAAATTAAAAAGAAAATTATTTCATTGACCTCCTTGTAAAAAGGAGCTCTGAAATCTTCTCCAAACATAGTTTTCATGTCTAGGTCACTGTTATCTCTGTAATAAAAATGTGTAGCAAGCCCGACCTGGCCCATTCAACAGACCGGAAACTATATACGGGCTATAATGCCCAGTGGCAGGCTAGCTATTATTTGATGTTGCCCAAGACAAAATCGCCAGGCACATGGGTACAAAATGTTCCTTCATATACATTAACATTTTAAAAATATCCTTTTAGTCCTATTTTTCTGTATCACTGTATTCAGGCAAGTTTTACATGGTAAACAAGTTCTTTATTTAAATGAACATGTTTCCTGTGATGTACTCTACTGAACATTTCTCATAAAGCTGGCCATAAAATTTGGTGGGTAAATGTTCCCTGACCAAGAAATTTGAAAGAACCTTAATGTTCTTTAGTACATCAGAGGCTTGGTATAATAGCGTAAGTAGAGAAACCTGTTTAATTCCATTTAATTTAATATCTTCCAAACTTACTTAGCATGTAACCCCTCTGACTTACCACACTTAATCCCTATTTCAGACAATTTTTAGTGAAAATGTTAGTGGCAAATACGGAACACCATTTCAGAGAGCTGAGCCCCCTGCAATGATTTGTGTACTTAATGTTTGCCTTGCGTAGTAAATGCACTGCCACTCGATGGAACGTGCAGTTTGAACAGCAGAGAATCTCTCATGCTAGCACTGCCTGTTGTGTATCTGACCACCCTACCTGCTCCTTAGGAAAGCAGAAATTAGAAATTCAGCTCCAAAATTCACAAACTTCACCACATGAAACTCTCAGTTTGCCAACTTTACTATCCCCCACAGATCCACAAACATGATTTCTTCCTTCCAACTAATGTTGCCTTTCTAAATACTCTAACTGACCATGTCGGATTTCACATCAAAGCCAAAGCAGTTATAGCATAAATTCTGCCTTTAAGAGAACCTTAAAATTATTAACAATTATCTTTTTGATAGGATTATGAAAGTTTGAAATAAATGACAAATTTACAGCAGTATCAACACAAGTGGTTGCTATGTTTGCTCTGGTTCCTGCTTCTGGTTTTGTGGGGTGGTATTCACAATTACCCATTATCTGAATACTTTTTTTAAAAGCCTTTCAAATATATTGGTGCAGATTGGTCATACTTGTCTAGCACTACAAAGACTCCTAATTATGAATCTCTGTGATTCATTTACGATTGTTCAGTTATGTCATAAATCCTCCATCTGATGTGGGGAGGCTGCAGAGAGGAAGCTTGATTTCATCCTTTCACTGATTGCAGGTATGATAACGGCACCTTTTCCTGATTTCTATCTTCAAAGGACAGTACAATGTGCGCAGACATCAAGAATGAACTTCGGTGCAGTAATGAAGAATGGTATCATGAAAAGTACTGGTGATTAGCTGGTTAAAAGCACTATCAATAGTGATGACACGAGAGCTCCTTTAACCTTTCAGGTTAAAGACATTGTAACACCTCATTCTGGAACCGCATCAAGTTCCCTGGTATTAGCACTGAAATTATATATGCAATTTTGATCATAACAAACACAACCTGCACATTTTAGAAATAATTTACAACTGGAGATAAATGCAGTATACTGCCAGTACTATAAATAACCTTTAAGATTTCATTATTCAATCGGGTGTCAAAGCAAACAGCCACAGACGCTTGCTTAACGAAGGGAACGTTTTTCAGGATTATCCTCATGGTTATGTCTTCAATTGTGCAGACTGGAAGGATTTGCGAGAGAAACTGAATAATCTTGCATTATATGAATAATTTATAATCACAGCAGAGTCAGTGATTCCCTGGCTTATCGCACATTTGCATGTTATAATCAATAAAGTCCACACACACCCAACTATACCATGGAACTTTGTTTAAAATAAAACTTCTCCAACAGCCTTGTCAGTCGCCCTGTCCTGATGTATAGAATACAGAGAGGAATACGTGATGCATTGAGTCGAACATTCTTAAAATTATATGTATATCATTTCCATTCTCTGTGCCTTAGATCAAATATTATGAAATAATCCTGAGTTACAATTCATTTGCTAAAAAAAGAATATATTTGCTCAATGAATTTAAATTCCTAAACTATGTGGCTAAATACTTACGATAACCTGATGAGAGTGTTGAAAACGTGAAGAAATTTCACATAAGAAAAGCGATATGCAGCGGCAGGAAATGTTCTGACTTCCTCTTTTGTTTCTGTATTTTTCCATCTACAACTTGATTCTAAGCAAGAGACTTCAGACGCAGCACGGGGACTAGCACAACCAGGTCAGCAACCGCAAAGGTGATTCTCTCAGGAAACAAAGAGCTAATAGGATGTTATTAGTTTTATGCCTACTCATAATAACTGGATACAGACAGGAGCATAAGATCATTCTGCAGTCACAGTAGAATGCAGGAATAGAGGTATTTGTGTTATGAAGAAAATGGTGATAAGGAAAAGACATACAATTAGTGAATTTTGCAGAGACCAAAATAAGTAAATAGTGGGACAATGTTTTACCACTAAGATTTTTAAATAAACCAAGTAGATCACCTAAAATTACTTATTGAAGGCAGAATAAAATTCATATATATTGTGTAAATGAGGCCTCTGGAACATGGTGAAAATTATACACTGTATGGAAGAACTCATTTTCAATGAAAATTTGGACAATACAATATTGCATATCAGTAACTATTTTTGTAGCTAAGTCAAATTTTCATGGGAAAACAACTCCATACTTATGGAAATGCCTCATCAAAACTCCCAAAAGACAGTAATTGGGTGAAAGCCCAGATACTTTCTTTCTAAATCTGCTCTCCTTAGAGCAGACAACCGGCTCAGTAACATTTACTGTACAGGTCTCCACCCTCCTGAGACCCAGCCCAAGTTGGCTCAATCAGCGCTGGCCCGCTACACCGGCTGGAACCACCACCTTCTCTACGTGTAGCATTGGGAACATTCTCAGTGTGAGCTGGCCTCTCAAAAACCAGGCAAACTTGGAACCATAAAGAAGCTACATGCAAAGCGAAACAAAGAAAGGCAAAGCAGGGTGGTGCACGCTTGTAATCCCAGCACTTAGGAGGCTGAGGCAGGAGAAGCACTGCGAGTTTGATGCAAGCCTGGGCTACAGAATGAGTTCAAAGTCAGCCTGGACTGCATAGCGAAACCCTGTCTCAAAAAAAAAAAAAAAATCTAGTCAGCAGAGTAAGCAATGAAGAAAAACCATGGGCAGAAGCAGGATCCAAAGAAAACACGACCACTGCCTGGTTTTTGAGAGCTTCCTGGTCCTTTGGGACCATTATTTTAAGAATTCAATTGTCCTTGGCTTTTATGACTCTCACATTCTTAACTTAGCTGAATTCAGGTCTTGTTACAATCAACTAAAATTTGACAATAAATAACGCTGTTGTACTTAGTAGGAATATTTAGTTAGAACACTCTTGGAAACTTTTAAGTAGAGTATTTTATTTTTTTAAATTTTAAATAAAACACTTCCCTCATACCCTAACAATTTAAGAATGAAAACAGAACAACACCTAAATTGGTCTAAAGATCAACCTTATTATGGACAAGTGTCCATTATTGTATCTCTTTTCTAAGTTAGGGTACAAAATGGTTGGCAAAGAGTGATTAAGTTTTCAAAGTTTTGGTTAAGCTACCATCAAAGCAACTACAAACTTTATTTTTAGTTTACATTTGATCATCCTTTCCTCTTTTCGCTGTGAACTTTCCCTTGTGATTGCAATTAATGTGCATTCCTTTCTCAATCTGTGAAATGGAATGACTCATCAGTAAAAAACAAACACTCTATAAGAATTTGATAAATGCATAATCAAGTGAAGTGCCAGGGTAACTTCTGGAAAAGCCATTCAAGTTGTTACTAATAAAATATCTAGATGATGTATTTGACTGGTAAATATATTTTTCTGCCTTTAAATTTTAACTAAAGTATAATTCAAAACTCTTCAAGATAGTAGTAGACAAAATGGAATGACTTCGTAAATATGCAGTCACTGCTTTCCTCTTTGGTTAAATAAATACAAAAAATAATTTACATGAACAGAATACAAGAAGAGAAGCAACATCACACCTTAAATGCTTAACATGGGCGGAGCATTGTGCTAAACATTGCAAAATTATCTCACCTTGATACAATATTTATAATAATCTTGGCACCGGTATTGTTGTATTGTAAGCTATATATGAGCTATAAAGGAGAAAATGTAGAAATAAATTATCTAACCTTCTACGTAACAGGTACTAAGGGATGGGACTTGGTTTTAAATCTGGATGAGTTTATCTCAATGTCTTCATGTTAACTGCGTATATACTGCCTCATAGAAGACAGGTAAGTTAGCGATTTGGATTAAAATTTAATGGGAAAGTAACCCGAGTTGTGTAAATGTTTGACAAGTTATATAGTTAAAAAATCCTCGGGGGCATTGGTCAAAACTTACCCAGTTTCATAGATGAGGAGAACTGAGTCCCTTCCACCACTACAATGTTAGTGCTTAGTAAATAATAGCTTTTGGTACAGTAAGTTGTATAACTAAATGAAGAGTGATTAGTTCAGCCTTACATGACACCAAGAAAATACGAATTCCTAAGTTTACATTTTGACATTTTTCACGACTGCATTTTTAGTGAGAAAAATGTACAGCCTTTGGGGTCCAGTCACTACTGCCCAAAAGTTAGACATCAAGTGCGTATCAGCCAGTGAGAGGTACAGCTAATGTGAATTTGAATTCAAGGCGTAGGGCAATGTGACAGAGGTAAAAACACAGAGATCTTTGGAGTAGAGCAGTTCATGGTATATTCATACATCACATAAATAGCACTACAAATATTTAGCTTTTGTGTGCTCGATGTATAATAAGAGCAATGTTAATTCAGCCTAGAAAGGGTCCCCTTCTGGGTGGTAACCAAACGTTTCATGTTGTGTAACTTGATCTGGACCTTGAAAACCCATCTGTAGTAAAATAAGCTGAATGGAGACTGAAGAAAGAATATTTCGAGATACTTGTACGAAACACTAAGGTAAAAGTTTCTTTGAATCCTTTAGGGAGTTAAGTAGAGGGAAAGCCTTTCATTTAGGTGAAAGCGTGATGGGATGTAAGATCACAAGATCACAAGATCACAAAGACAGAGCAGCGAGGCTCCAAAGAACCGAAATTCCAGGCTGAGAGGGTAGAGGCCATCATTTTCTGCATTACTGCCAGCGCTGAGCAGCATAAAGGGAAAAAAAACAGAGAGAATAAGACAATGAATAGCAAAAGTCACAGCAAACTTCAAACTCGAGAGGAGTCTTGAGCATTCTCTGTTCCCCTGCTGCCTTTAATGGAAATAACCAACAGGAATGCCACATGATTACAGTATATGTTTTCTCTGTGGGAGAGGGAGATTATGTACTCAGAACCATAAAGCATTTGCTTGCAAAATTAATTCAAATTGACTTGCATGGGTGCACTGTCACATGAATTGAAAACAGATGAAAGATGGTTTTAAAAAAAGGATCATGATAAACAGCAATCAAGCCACTTGGAAAAGTACCTGGTGTTGGGCCCAAGGGAGCTCGGCAAGGTTGGATTTCTTTAACATCTTCATTAATGAATGGGAAGATGAGAGTGAAAAAAAAATGTATGTATTCACATATGGAAAGTGATACAAGTATCAATCAGAGCAGAGTTTTTTCAGAAGATGAAGGATTTACACAGACTATATAATTTGGCAGAGAAATATTTAGACAGAGACCTACCTATCTATGCATAGTTCTAGACAATGCCAAAAAGGAAATTATCAGCACCCAATATGAACAGATGGGAGTTATACTGCGAAAAGCCATTTGGTAAAAGTTTATGTACAAGTGCCTCGTACCTGGCAAAATAACAATAAATTGTAGGTAATTTTTTAGAAATGACAGAAACTCTTTTTTCACATGTATATTCCCTGCTGGTTACACAAGTCAACCAGAATAATCAAAACAAAGAAGAAAAAAATCAGAAAATTAAGGGTGGGTGTCACAGCTGACACACTGTGTCAACTTGGGAGTCTAGAGGTTTGCCTAAGTAACTCAACAGTTCTGCATCTGGGGGTAAAAAAAGTACGCCCTTACCCTTCTGGGATATTGTTTATTTTGTCAATTTAAAAAGTTTAACTATGTGACTCAGCAGGGAGCCAGGGTGCTTACTTTATATTCATCCTGAGCCTGTGTAAGAGGAGGCCATGGAGATTATATAAGTGCTACACACCCCTGGGTGGGGGTAACCTGCTTACAATATAAGGGAGAAAAAGAGGCTTACTCTGCCCTACCACTCCTCCCTTTTGCTCTTGTTGCTTTGCTGTTCTGCCGCCATAAACTGTTGCCCTCTGCCATGTGCCACTCTGCCTTGGAGCCAGCCAAATCTAAACTAAAACCTCCACAAACTGTAAGCTAAATAAACCTTTCCTTCCTTCATTTTGGGCATTAGGTATTTTGTCTCAGTAACAACAAAAAAAGTAACCAAGACAGTGGGCTACCAAGCTAGAAAGTGCTGGGAGTGCAATCAGAGGGGGAGAAATAGATGAACGTTCACACGCAGGGGAGAAGACGGAGTCCACAACACCATCTGCTCACGAGGAGGAAAAGAGCTCTCCTGGAGCACTGCTTTCCTGAGGAATTAGTACATAAATTGGGACCTAAAGGATGGATTGGTTATCTATCCTATTGCAGCTAGGTTAAGAAGGGATTAATGCAAGAGTAATGTGGGTAAAGCACAGTCTCTACTTAATATCTACAAGTGTCCCTATAATGTGGGAAATGTGTTTTGCAAATTGCTAGAGAAAAAAAAAATTCACAGTATTTCATACTGATTTTAAATATAGAATCAGTAATACCGAATGACAAATCATACCTATGTGTTTC